CAGGATATTTGAAACAAATACTGACTTGTACGGAAATTGAATTGCACATGCTTTGGTATAAGATGAGTCTTTATATATTTTTTTCCTTATTTGAAAAATATTTTTTTTTAAGTGAATCATTCTTTTAAGTGTACTTAATTACCACAAACAAAAAATGGATGCACGGATTGAATATATGTTTGACTGACTTTGAAATTTTATTGATATAAATAATAAATCCCCGAAATATAAAGAAATCGTAGGTTTTCCTCGGTGCTTAGATTTGATATTTTATTTTGCCTTTTATATAGTTCCATACAAAATTTTGCACAATTTTTTAACTTTATGACAAAATTTTATAAAATTCTCCCATTCTACTTGGTAAACATTATTCAGGTTGTCAATTTAAATGTTAATCTATGAGAAATAATGCTGATTACTGAAAAAAGTTTGTTTGTGTTATTTATCCTTCAACTCATAAGAACATTTTAACTTCGAAAAGAAATCTTTGTTTTAGGAATGATTCATTGTAATTGTATATATTGTAAACATTATATGTCAGGGAGGTCCACAATTGTTCCTTTCAATTGAAGCATGGAAAAATATGTATCATTTTGTTACTCAGGTACATTTTCTCTCTTACATTAAACTTTCAGTATTTTTAGCAAAACAAACCATTTTATTACTGGTGCTTTTTGACACGATAATGGTTATGGTCATCGCGATCATTAATTAAAAAGAAAGTTTGCATTCGTAAGTCATATTATAGTGTCATATTGTATGTTGAAATATTTTGGAGATAATGAACATAATTCAAGCTAAAAAACACTTAACACTACAAAATAATACAGTATTGTAATAAAATAGTATTATTTGCATATTCAGATTGATATAAAACTTAAAATTACCTGCCAAATACCTCGGCAGTATAAAGCAACAGTAAAAAAGCTTATATCGAATATTAAATTTACTATATGAAGAAAAAATGGAATGAGAGTGAATATCCTGACTCTTTGTAATGACTGAACTGATTTTCTAGACATTAAATTATCGCTGCACAAGTACGGAAATGAACTCTTTATTTCAAAATTAAAAATAGGATATTTTTATGATCCTAGCCCATTTATTTCCGTTAAGGACAGATGAGACAAACAAAAAATGGATTCCTGGATTGGTATATATTTTTGAACTAATTTCATTGCAAATGATGTAAATAATAAATTTCTAGAATATAAGGAAATTTTAAACCTTCTGTGACCTTCAAATTTTACCCTTCTGAAACCATCCTTATTATTCTATACAAATATTTTTCTCTTCAAATTCCATTTTTGTGCAACTTTGAGCAAAAATTTAAAAACCACGCGGTGAAACCTATTCATTTTATTCATTAAAACATGACCCAAGTTGTCATTTTAAAAATTTTTGACAAAAATTTGTTTGTGTCATCTGTCCTTAAAAGTAAAATTGTATTATAAACCATGCTTTGCACACTTCCTAACTAAAACGCATTAATACTTCGTATTGAAAATATTCCATTCCCGTGTTTCTGAAAAATGAAGTCATCATAATACAGCATGTAGTATGTATTTGAAATTAAAGTGTTAGTTTCTGTTTACATAATTTCTGTCTCTAATACAGGTTGATATAGCAGTACAATTTTAGACTCCGTGTAAAACAAAATGCAGGGTTGACTTAAACTAATTAAATATATCATTGTTTTGTTAACATCATATTACATGGTATTTTTATATTTACCTGCAATTGAAAGATTGAAAAGAAAGTCAATCGGTTTTTAGTTTTAAACTTAAAAGACAAGGAAACACACAGCCTTGAATTCATATTCATTTAAATATTGTTGGTAAGTTTTCTTAAATATCCAATTCAACTTAAAGGGGAAGGAAAAATGAAACATTTAAGACTGATAATCAAATAAGTCCTTCTGTTAGTCAAACTTATCTCGAAAAAGGACACACACAAAACCAAAGACAGTTTAAAGAAATTTTCCGATCTATGCAACATTTGATACTTTTGTGTTTAACAAATGTGAGGGAAATATATTTACATATTCCGGGGTTCTCTTCATTCGTAGCATCAGTTTGACTCCCCAAAAATCGCCAATTGACAACGAAACTTCAGACTATAAATTTGATTGATTGATTGATTGAATATTGTTTAACGCCGAGTCGGCAATTTTTAAGCCATGTTTCGGTGGATTATAATTTTGAAGAACTGTGCCATTGCAATTTGACATTTTGCTGTTACCAATTACTTTTTTTTAAATTTGCTTAAAGTAAAATGAGTTGAATTTGCTAAAAACCCATTTAAGGTCATATTTTGTTTTTTGTATTTTTAAATTCTAGCTTCTCCATTTTGATAATGTATTACAACATGAATTCAAGTACTCTAACACATCCTTTTAAAACGGGAATAAGAAGTTTTTTTCTACAAATAATATGCAGGGAAGAGTATCATGGACAGTTTTTTGCATCATAATGAACTATATTTATATACCCAAGGTTCACAAGGTTCACAAGGGTCATGATTTTAAAAATATTTGAATTTACACTACCTCAGCCTGTCCTCAGGATGCTTCCATATAAGTAAAAGCTCCTCTGGCCCAATGGTTTGTAAAAAGAATATATGATTTTTAATGATTTTTACTTTAAATGATTATGAAAGATATGGATTCCCTATTGTGGTCCTTCTCTACCCTGGGGGGCATGATTTTCGCAGCACTGTTAAGGCCTACTATAAAGAAATCAATGGAATATAGACGTGCAAAAACGGGAGTTTTTTTAAAACTGAATTTTTTTTATAAGGCCGTTTTATTAATACATAACTTCAGTACCAACTGAAATAACATAATTGACCCACTCTGTACTAAACTAAGTTTGGTCCCATCAATGGACAGTCATGTGATAAATCCATAGTATGTGTACTGAATGGAGGCCATAAACAAATTTCAAAATCGCAAGGGCATACACTACGTGAAATTAAAAATTTAAGTTGCCTTTTGTTTCTGTATACTTTGTACTTTCTGGAAAGCGCTGCTGCTTTATATAGAATTAGCACTTTATTAGTAAAAAAATTTAAGTACATATGCCCATGTCGAAATATGTATGACATTTAACAGGTATTTTATGTCCGTATTAAGTCACGCTCTCGATTTAAAGAAAGCAGCAGCACTTTTTAAGTTAAGAAAACCATCCTTTACCTATTTATAAACAAATCGCTAACATCTATTCTGTTTATGCCCCTGCGAAAAGGCGATTTAATAAGCCACCTCGATTGTTAACATGTCAAACCTGTAAACATAAACACGGCAAAAATTAATTACATACAGTCTCTCGCTAACCATAGAATAATCGCACTAAAGAAAGGTTATAACATTGATATTAATAGCCTATCTGAAATCTGTAAATAGTTTTCTGTTTATTAATAAAATGCATTTAACGTTGTAGAAAATAGACTTGATCTGCTTTTCACAGTACATTAAATACGTCATTTTACCAAAATGACGTCATGTCGACAAGTTTGCTGCAATCAGTGATTTCCTTTTAAATTGTTATTTGGGATTTAACAAGCAACTGTTTTAAATGCATTGATAAGTTTTGATGTTGTTTATTATGCAAATACAGTTTAAAAATGCAAATTATTTGATTTTCTACATTATGAGGAATACAAATTGTACCTATTTTTGTGTGACTTCACAGTAAACATTTCCCGTATAAATTAAGCCCCGTCCCCTTATTCAAGCCTTAAAAATGCCGCGTTAATAATTTAGAATTTACACTTCCCCAGGATGCTTCCTCATACATGTAGGTTTCAGCTTTCTTGGCCCAGTGGTTCTTGAGAAGAAGATTTAAAAGATTTGTCATATATATTTCTATGTATTACTTGTATTCCCCATTGTGACCTCGCGCTACCCCTGGGGTCATGATTTTAAGAATTTAGATTATACACCAACCAAGGATGCTTACACACAAGTTTCAGCTTTTTCTGACCTAGTGGTTCTTGAGAAGATTTTAAAAGATTTTTTCTATATATTTCTGTGTAAAACTTTGATTCCCTATTGCATCCGCGTCCTAACACTGGAGGTAATGATTTGAACAATTTAGAATCTACACTACCCCAGGATGCTTCCACATAAGTTTCATTTTTTTTTTGGTCCGATGGTTCTTGAGAAGAAGATTATTTAACGACCCCACTCTATTTTTGTATTTTCTTGATTAGTCCCCTTGTAAGGGACTTTCATTTTAACACTTTTAACTCCAATTTACCAAAGAATGATTTGTGACAAGTTTGGTTAAAATTGGCCTAGTGGTTCTTGAGGAAAAATTAAAAATGTGAAAAGTTAACCGACGGACGGATAGACAGACAGACAGACTGACAGCTGAGTGGACGGACGGACAAAATGTGATAAGAAAGCTCACTTAGCCGACGGCTCAGATGAACTGAAAACCTTATTTCGATTTTTTTTTTTACACACACCACACTGTTATAACAAGTATTAACATAGAAGTGTTTCATAAATTGCATGTTGTTATAAATCGGTGGTATGACATCAATAATTTACTTATCTCAATTCTGACTGTAAAAGCTGAATAGTTAACAACACTTGAAATAATATAATAATATTCATGAAGGTTCCTTAATTCCTCTAATTTTTATGTCAGTGCTAGTTATCATACTTTTCTCGTTGGTAACGACTTTCAATTTTCTGTTTTAAAACTTGTATAAGGAAAGGTTTTAATATGTTTCACTAAGTCGTATATTTGGTATACCCTTTCAACAGAACTCGTACATCACATTGAACGATAATATAAATGTTTGTATGAGAGTAGTAGATTTAAACTGTAACATACATTTTGTGGTTTTAGAAAGATTTACCTTTTCCCACGAAAACCCAGTAAAATAATTATTTAAGGTTTTCTGCCAAAAAAAAGCAAAAATCGTCTTCAGATGTCCAAACCAAGAAAATATTATTCTTAAATATTAATATACAGCAGGCTTTGTGAAGTATGAAATTAGAAAAAAAAGTATATCAAGAAAACATAACAAAATATATCAAGGTTCTTCGGAATTCTTCTAAATGAAGGCTAAAAAATCTTTAAATAAATAGTTTGGTATTTTATATTTTTCCTGTATTTTATCCACAACCCGTGCCTTGGGTAGCATGCATGGATAGCAGCTCGACAACAGTCAGGTTAAACATTGTCAATTTTATTTTATTTTCATTTCACTCAGAGATACTTGAATTAAAATATTCAGAAAAATAATTTTGTTATTTTTTTATGAAGTGGAATTGAAAAGAAAAAAAAATGACACTGTGATGTTTTATGCTTTATATTATAAAAATGATTTGGGCGGAGTTAAAAAGATAGCCTTGCTTATTATCAACATTGCCAACCTTCATTAAACAACACTATTTCAGAATCTTAAAAAAAAAAACAAGACATTTCACCCATTTACACGTAAAGAATGCCACAAATCGAATATACATGTACTCGTATAAATGAATACTTAAACACAGAAAGTTATATAATATTAAAACATGATTGAAAGCTAAGCATATTAAAAATAATTTCCTGAATATTACAACAAATCTCTACTAACCAAAAATACGACGTAAAAATTGGCGCGACGACAAAAATACTCAGCTATCAGCTACATTGAGGTTTTTTTTTTTACATCACTCATTTATTAATGTATTAATTCTAAACAGCGTTGCTTCCCGAATCTTGTTTAACGGATCTTGTTGTAACGACTGTTGATAAGATTCTAGAGCTCCCAGGAAGTCCCCACAAATTTGTTGACAGATTCCCAGTATTTCCCAAGAAATATCTCTGAGGGGAGGAGGTACATAAACCCCGTCATCACAGAGCAGCAGAGTCTGTAGATCCTGTAGAGATTGTTGTGACCTGATTATGTCACCCAGTCTGTGGTGATTCAGTATTAACATCATGTGTAACATCACTAGAGGTGGAATGAACAATGTATCTTTACCATTCTCCTCACTGTTCTTCTGCTCTAGAACTAGTTCATCAATGTATGTGTACTGACTTCTTAACACAATATTGTTCACTAAAGCAATTTTCATTTTATGACACAGAGTCACCCCCATCGTGCATAGTGTGTACATATATTTATTTACATGATTACCGTACATTATGTATAGCTTTGACATTCTGTCCTGTATCTTCTGTAAACAAGTGAGTGACCGTTCATATCTACATGTTCTGTAAAAATACATTGCAAGATACAGAATATCTGAGACACAACCTAATGTACATGACAGTTTTAACATTCGGGGTACGTAACTAGCTTTGTAATAAACCTTATTAGGATTTTTATGTTGATATACATCACACAGTTTCAGCATGGCAGTGTTTCGTAATATGTCTGATGTTATAAATTGTACTGTAGCCTCCTGGAAGGGCGTCAACCTTTTACTAATCTCTATTTCAATGTTCTTCATAAGAGCTGCAAACTCTTCATCACTTGAAACTCTTTGGCTCCTTCCATCGAATTCCTCAAATAAACTAATTTCAAGTTCAGTGTTAGTAATGACACTGCTCTCGTCAGTACACATTCTCAATGTTCTGTATAAAATGGCCAGACTGAGAAACGGTCCTAACGTTTCACTCAGTAAAAGACATGGTATACCCTCACAATACAATTTATACAACTTATTAAACAATACTGTTTGTATGGATCCAATTACTTTATATCGGAACATGTTGTTTAGTGGAATAAAAAAGTTTGGGCCTTCTCCAGCAAATACCCAATGTATCAATAATTTAAAGCAATCCCAGAAACAAGGCAATAAGTTTTCAGGTGTCCAAGTCAAGGCGTTGTTAGTTTGAATTACCCAAAATACAGCAGTTTTTGTGAAGTATGAACATAGACCTGGCGGACATTCATTATAATTAATTATTTCCTTAAGAAATATTTTAAAAAGACCATAACACAAAAACTGAGTGTGATTCATTGAATAAACTATTTTTTGCTCCGCCATGGAGAATGAAATTCTCCACTCTTGTCTGCTGTCAGGTGTGCTGCCGATAGGGACAACATGGCATCCTGATCTTAATATATCTGATAAAACATCCTCAGACGGCCAACCTTGTTGACGACATCTATGTATCCATGGAAAAGCGATTGCTGGCCAGTGATGGGATCGAAAACAGAATACACAATCTGATTCTAATCCACCCCGGCAAAATGTAGAACAAGGACCATGTGAATTAGAAGAAAATCCCCAATTATAAGACTGTAAGTATCGAAGGTAGTTATCTCGGAATAACGTACTAGATATATACACGTTGTTATTGATCTCTACACAGGAGGATCTGACATCTTCATCATTAGAAGGACTCAACAGATTTAGTCTGGTAAATCCCGGTGGTAGGTCATCACACTCCATTAGAATGACTGTGTGTTGTGGAATACGGTAGAGACTGACCTGAGAGAGATCACAGATTACTTTGTGATCCGGAGGCCAGAACATCCAATCTAAATCTGAAGTTCTCAGCTTGAATCCCTCACGTCTACTCCCACTCTCCATTCTTTCAAGTCCCCTCATGATATCCACAGGTTTATTCACGACCTCCTCAGTGTCCTTCACTTCTCTCCTGATCCTCACTTCTGTAGGACTCCCTACTTTACGACACAGTCCTACATACACAGCCTCTGACAGGCGAGGTATATGATCCATTTCTATTTCTATTCTGAAATTATAAGATAGTGTGTACATGTAAGTATAGAAAAGACGTACGTCTTTATCATCTTTGTACTGTCGCATTTCTTATTCATGTTTGTACAGTCATTTTACCAGTAACGAATCCTGTGCTAGTTACGACTTGCACACAAAACACATATTTGAATTTCTAATTTTCTTTGCTGTTGTTTAAAATTTGTATTTCGAAACTTGACAAATAGGTAGTACCCAAATTTTCAAAATATAAATCGTACAGGTACAGAGTTGTCAAAAATAACTCACATACCTATTTTCCTAGTTTTTAATCGATTTTTCAGCATCGAATCAAGTGCCCTTTATTGTTGCTGACTTAATAAATAAAATGGGTTGGTCGAAATTATTCTAAAAATATACCTCAAAAAAAGATTAATATACATAAAGTATATAAGCATTTCTTGTTAATTGTTGATTTAAATGCTTTGTTTCTTAAACCAAACAAAAAAAGGTATGTTTGTAAAATACTATGCGTCCAGTGGCAACAAAGATTGAAAAAGCTATTTAAGCAGATAGGCCACAGTCAAGATCATACGGTAAATGACCCTGGTATCAATTTTAAAAAGTTCAATTACTTTAGTAAGCAAATCAAAAAGTAAGTCAATCTTTTTTGGTTCAAAAGTTATGACGAGGGTTAAAGATTGCCGACAAACATAGAAACAAACAGACAGACAGGACAAAAACCTATATTTGCTCCGATCTATCGATTTGGGTGCATAAAATTATAGGATTTTATTAGAAACTTTTAATAACATTGCGTAATTAAAATCAAATCAACTATTAGTGACGCGTAATTTTCATGGAATATATTTTTGCTTGTAAATTGAATTTTTAAGTATTTTCACTTCTGTCAACTATCCTTGTTCTTGCATGTCAGCTATCCTTGTTCTTGCATCCTGTAAAGCGGAATTTTTGGTACTTTAAAAAACCGTGATTCGTAACTAAGAAAACAACATGGTTAATTTGGATGTTAAATTTCATTCAAAGTCAATTACTGTTTAATCTTATACATTCTATCTTGTTATATATTTACTAAATATTGATTACATATTCAATCTGGATTGATAACAAATCAGAAAAAAAAATCCTTAGACACAATTGTTTACGCACATCGTTTTATATCTGTCTTGGACTTCCGCGTGTTAAAATCTGGCTATTGTTTCACATTCATGATTGTAAATGCTGTTGAAAATAATCACAATCGGCAATCCTCGTCTAACTCCGCTACGCTCCATTCAAACCTCGGATGTGATTAGTGGAGGAATACTCATCAGATCCTTACATTTCTCCGCCGGAAACTGCCTTGCCACTCATTTCATATTTCGCTCTGCATAACGTTCTTCGAAAATGTTTCTTGATTTGTGCAATTCTTTAGCGTAACTAGATTTTGATTACAGCCTCATGTTTGTAGGCTTTGAAATCAAGAACAAACTTTTTAGTTTGCCACAAAATAACTCCGATTTCAAATGTATGACATTTGCATGAAAGAAATTCAAATAAGATAGATCACATGACTCAATCAGCAAGTTTGTAGAACACCTTTGACGTCCAAGTTTATTTGCAAGGCATTCAGATATTACAAAAACACAACTCAGGGGTAGAATATTCATCCTTTTAATGTATTTACCTTATAACATTTTTTGAAGCCTTCACAAGATGTGTTTCTAGAATATTAAAATAAAAAAAAAATATTCGTTACTGGCAAATATTCGTTACCGGTAAAACTTCTGTATTTATAAAAAAAAAGTTTGAACACAGTTATGTGTGTATATCTATTTCTTTTGCTTAATATTCAAAGGAACGATGGTCAGTTTACATATATGGATCTATAAAAGGGTTCTTCTTTTGTATAAAAAGGACTACAATATCCTACCATATTTCAGTATTCATGTTTAATAACATTTTCAAATGTAGGTATAATTATAAAGCACGAACATTATGTCATTCATATAAATTTAACTGTAGAACACACGTACCTTGAATGCCACCCACAGGGAGAATTTTCAACTGCGGAAAATCCCAAATCTCTACTTTCGTTTTGTAAAATAAGTAGATAACCCTATTAGCTGTAGTTTATTTTTATTTTTAAAGATGAACTTATTATGAAAAGGTAAAGGTAAGGTTTCAATACACATCTTGCCATGTATTTTTCTAAAATATGGACGTTAAGTAAGAAATAAAAATTCACCCTTTCGGATTTATGAAAGTCCATGCACACGATGCAATAAAAGCATGCAACCCGTTTTTTCCAATATGACTACCTTTATGCTTACTGTGAAGATATGAACTTGTGTATTTTCACGTATTATCTTTCAAGGTTATAGCAGACATCAATTTTCAATGAAAATTTCTTTCAGAAAATATACAGCACAAGTCATATATAAGCGAATTTCATAACTTTTAGGAATATTAATGTTTTAGGGCACAATAAAGCGCAAACCGCACTTTTCCCTTTTAACATGAGGCTTGCTACCTATATAGGTCTATTACTCAGCAAATAAGCTAACCATTTTTAATTCATCAGAACAAAGAGGACATCTTTATGCAATGTTACACGTTCAGAAGGGAAGAAACATGAAGGAGTTTCCATACAGATGTTTGTATTTTAAATCACATTAATTATTTTCATTTGAAATTTGAAACTTTTGAAATAATATTTATCATACTTTCCCATTTGTATTCAACAATTGTTCCTTTGCATCATATATATCATGATTTTAAGATCCAGTGTTTCGATAAGAAGACCTTATAAAATTAGTGTAAATGTATCCCCGTTTAGGGCTACCTTTTTTTGTTTGCACGAACTTAACAGTATGATGCCCTGTTCACACGTAGAGTTTACTGGTAATTCAGATTAAATGAAAGGGAAGTAAACAAAACTATGATGCAAATTATATTGTGTTCATACGACAGCTAGAGCGAAGAAATCAAATTAAAATTTTATGTCTACGAAAAGGCCATTTGTAAGGCTATTTTGATGCCATTTTAATTCAGCACGTCATGTATACAGAGTGATCCATACTATACATGTAATAATTCCAGTGGCTACAGGTATACATACTGTGATTAATAAACTTTTCCTTGTTTTTTTTAAAACCAAATATAGCATAGATAACTATATCTAACCACCAACATGTGTCCTGCGACTTAATTCTGGCCTTACGCATGCATCAAAATTAATTTCAAATTGACTTTCCTTGGCGTTCACAGGGAGCTAATCACATCAAGTACTGTAGATCACTTAATTTTCGCGATACCTTATTTTCGCGAGATAGTCATTGACTCTTTATTAGCGAGACAAAATTTTCACGAATTGTGGTCATTGCTTTATATAATCTTAAGGAATTCTATTATACGCGAGAATGAAATTTTCGCGAGCATACCGCCTCGCGTAATTGCGCGAAAATAAAGTTCTCGCGAATAAAAAAATGATTTACAGTAATTATTAATGCACAGAAAAAAATAATCCTAAAAATAAACTAATTCGCATTAACTTCTTCGAGTGAATGTGATTCGAATTGGATTTGCAGTAACTTAAGTTTAATTCAAATTAAACACTGTGTGAACAGGGCATATTATGAGACTTTTATATATTCACCATTTCATCTTTCTTTTAAAATTATTTTTAACATTCATTATTATCTCTTTCTTAAGTGTTTGTCTGAATTTGCATTCAATATGCAGCTGTTGTTTGTTATTTTAATGAATTGTTAACACTCTTAAGGAGTGTTTCCTTTGAAGTTCATACAAGCAACACTTAATTTGGAGAAGAGCAAACACGGAAATGAAAAAGGATCAGGTAATACAACATTTGATAAGACAATATACACTGTTTCAGCCAAAAACGATACTTTTTTTCTACAATTCCACATTGCTATTTATTAGCGGTATTTTTGATCTGCAAACAACAAGAAATGACATCTTTTTACAAGAAAACAATATGCAAAAATCAAACGCGTAATAATACAAATAAAATAATATTATATATGTATGGAAATTAAATAAAAGTATGAATGACGTTTTTAAAACGGGAAAAACGGTTTAGGAGTAGAAAAGGGCGAAAATAACACGGAACAAATTTAACCCTGTACACAGTATGTATACACATTGTATTATCATCATTAAAATCTGAGGATACATGTATAATAAATGAAACATTGAAGATAACATCTTTTGTTTTTATTATCACTTACATTTATTACGACCGTCAAACTGGAGCGACAAGAATAGATGAAAGCTGTGTAAAGTTTTTTTTTTTCAACAATCATTGAGATAATTTATTACCTATGAACAAGATATTACAAGATATTATCAATCGTATAGCCTTAACAGTTGTTTAAGATCAATGAAATTAAGATTGTCATACAATCTTTATTCTTTGTAAAGGTTGTTATAAATATGAAAATGAAAGTCCAAATTCAAATATTTGTCAACATATTGATCTAACATTCATTTCTAGTATTAATTTATTATCTTATTGCATTTCAATAACATGATACAAAATAATTACAGATATATTTTTATAGATCACATAAAAAAATATCGTACAATGTAATGAATATAATGACTCCACTGAGATTCGCCTTGTAACTTTAATTTACAATTTACTAGTGTAAACATACTATTATGCAAAATATAAAACTTACATGCATCCCTAAATGTCACCTGAGAGATATTTACAAGTCTTATACTCTATCTGTAGTTTTTGCTTGTAAAGTAAATAGACAAACCCGTAGGCCTTGATGCAGCATGATCAAAGTGTTTGACACATAACTTAATTGATTTTTTTGTAAAACTGGTACTTTACTCGATTTATACATAATGTGAAAAAACCATTATTGCGATTTCTATATGAACATACACACCACTTAATTAAAATTACAGTGTTTCAATATGTAAAACACAGACCTTTGACAATTTGGAATTTACAGAAGTCACTGCAGTAGGATCAGGTCCTATGAGTTTTCTACGTCGGCTGGTTACTCCTGTCATGATACTTTCATATTCACCAAGTTACAGAATAATTAGAAAACTGATTTAAAATGTAGATGTATCAATGTATCTATATACAGGTATATGTACATGTATCAATGTATCAATGTATCTATCTTCATGTATTCATGTATCTGTGAAAATTACAACCCATGAAATTAATCTCCCCTTGTAGGATCACTTCTGTAAAAAGGCATAAAATTCAGAAAAATTATACAAAAAATATAAAATAGCATTTTTTTCAAATACAATGTATGTATGCAAACTGCATAGTAAATTTTTAAATTTAATAATTTGAAAAATCTTTTTAAAAAAGATGGAACAAAATTGAAGAAAAAAGAGAATGAATTAATCATCTAACAAGACATTAAAATTCATTCTAAATAACGTTTTACAAAACTTCCTTCATCCTGTAACATCAACAAAACATGAAGGTCTTTTTTTCAAAAGTGGGGCTGGTATTAAAATCAGTACAGATTATTCATAAGTACAGGTCAGGCCTGGTTTGACGACCATTTAAAATTGCTCCATATGCTTTATATATTCATCCATATTAATGCTCATACCAATAGATGAATGATTATGAGTGCCTTCGTACAAAGATCTAAAGCACCCTGCATGTAGGGTTAACTATTACATGTATGTATAGTTATTTAAGGAATAACTGTCTTATTTTTCGATTTCATGAAGTGATCAATAGATTGGCTTGTGCAAGCCAATTGATTGATCATCTTCAAGAAAATGAAAAATCTGACAGTTATTCCTTATATTTACATGCTTTGATTCCGTCAATCCACGTGCTCCAAACACTGCTTCTGTCTAGCTGTTGTCCCGCCGTGCACATGTTTTGTTTGTTTTTTGAAACCGCGCCAAAACATTGATGGGGAAATAAAGTACATTAACAATTGGTAATTTTATCGAGGACAAAGAAAATGTAAATATAGAGAAAGTAAGGTAGCCACCCTATGTATTACATTTAATGTATTTATTTTCTCACGACGTTTCAATTTATGTATTTTTTTATTTGCAAACGGCAGAAACTTTATGATACAAAATCGGAAAACGTTTTAATTTTGAACTGCTAAACTTCCAAATAATTTCAGCTTCATATACATTTTTGGCTCAGTTTGAAATGCTTCATGATTCTAAAGCCTGATTTATAAGTCTGAAAGAAAACAAAAGAAAACCCAGGATAGATCCTTTTTATTTCTCACAATGCACATTGGGGTTTGTTTACATCAATCATTGAGAAAGAGAATTAATTCTAAACAGCGTTGCTTCCTGAATCTTGTGAAAAGAATTCTGTTGCAGTGAATGTTGGTAAGATTCCAGAGCTCCCGGGAAGTCCCCAAAGATTTGTTGACAGATTCCAAGAATTTGCCAAGAAATATCTCTTTCATAAATTGGTACATTCACTCCTTCATCATAAAGCAACAGAGTGTGTAGATCCTGTAGAGATTGTTGTGACCTGATTGTGTCACCCAGTCTGTGGTGATTGAGTATAAATAACATGTGTAACATCACTAGAGGTGGAATGAGCAATATATCTATACCATTCTCCTCACTGGTCTTCTGCTCTAGAATTAGTTCATCAATGTATGTGTATTCACTGTGTAATTTAATATCTAGAACTAGAGCGATTCTCATTTTATGACACAGAGACATCCCCACCGTGCAACGTCTATACATATTTTCATTCACGTGATCATAGTACACGATGCATGGATTTGACATTCTGTCCTGACTTTTGTGTAAACAACTAAGTGACGGTTCAAATCTACATGTTTTATAAAAATACATTGCAAGATATAGAATATCTGAGGAACAACCTAATGTGCATGAGATTTTTAACAATCGGGATACGTAACTAGCTTTGTAATAAACCCTATTACGATTTGTATTTTGATATTCATCACACAGTTTCAGCATGGCAGTGTTACGTAATATCTCTGACGTCATAAATTGTAGTGCAGCCTCCTTGTTTGGCGTCAACCTTTTACAAATCTCTATTTCAATGTTTTTCATGAAAGCTGCAAATTCTACAACACTTAAAACTTTATGGCTATATGCACAGAACTTCTCAAATAAACTAATATCAAGTTCAGTGTTAGTAACGATACTGTTCTCGTCAGTACAGACTCTCAATGTTCTGTTTAAAATGACCTGACTGAGAAACAGTCCTAACGTTTCACTCAGTAACAGACTTGATATACCCTTGCAATATAATTCATAAAACTTATTAAACAATACTGTTTGTATGGATCCAGTTACTTTAAATCGGAACATATTGTTTATTGGAATAAAAAAGTTTGGACATTCTCCAAAAAATATCCAATTTATTAACAATTTAAAGCATTCCCAGAAATGAGGCAATAAGTTTTCAGGTGTCCAAGGCAAGGAGTTGTTAGTTTGAATTACCCAAAATACAGCAGTTTTTGTGAAGTATGAACATAGAACGGGTGAATCTTCATTTAAATTAACAACTTCTCTTAAAAATATTTTTAAAAGTCCATAACATAAAAACTGAGTATGATTCATTGCATTAACTAATTTTTGTTCCGCCAGGGAGAATGAAATTCTCCATTCAAGTATGCTGCCAGGTGTGCTGCCGATAGGAACAACATGGAATCCTGATCTTAATATATCTGATATAACTACATCGGACGGCCAACTTTGTTGACGACATCTATGTTTCCAAGGTAAAGCTATTGCTGGCCAGTGAGGGGATTGGAGACAGAATGCAAAATCTACATCTCTTGTATTATTGTGGCAAAACGTTGCACAAGGTCCATGAGTCTGGGAAGTTGAAGACAAATTATAGGTCTGTACGAATCGTAGGTAGTTATCTCGGAATAATGTACTAGATAAATAAATATTGTTATTGATCTCTATGCAAGAGGATATTACTTTTTCATTATTTGATGGATTCAGTAGACTTAATCTGGTGAATCCAGGAGTTAAATCATCATACTCCATCAGAATCACGGTGTGTTGTGAGATACGATAGAGACTGATTTGAGAGAGATCACATATAACTTTGTGGTCTGGAGGCCAAAACATGTAATCGGTATCTGAGCCTTTCATTCTCAATCCCTCACGTCTACTCCCACTCATCATTTTGTTGAGACTCCTCCTTATGAACACAGGTTTCTTCACCGCCTCCATGGTGTCCATCACTTCTCTCCTGATCCTCACTTGTGTAGGACTCCCTATTTTACGACAAAGTACTACATACACGGCCTCTGATAGTCGTGGTATGTGTTCCATTTAGATGTACATGTATATAATCTGAAATTATAAGATCATATGTTCTACGTAGAGAGGGGATTGGAATTATTGTATTGTCGTATTATTTTCTCGTTCATTTATGTATGTAAAAAAACGGTAAACAATGTGATATATGTATTTCTTTTTTTTTGTTGTTCAATATGCAAACGAACAATGACCAGGCAGTTTACATAAAGGAATGTTATTTTGTATCAAAAAAGGGGGGATATAATCTTCCACCATATTCCAGATACACGTTTAATAATATTTGCAAGTGTAGGTATAACTATAAAGATAAAGTACGTACATTATTTCAATCATATAAATTTAACTGTATAGAACAGAAATACCTCGAATGTCACAGGTCTGCAAGGAGAACATTAAACAGCGGAAAATCCCTAGACTCTACTTTCGGTTTGAAAATATATAGGAAAAACCCCTACCTAAACAAATACATGGGCGCAGACATTTTGGACACCCAACGTTGCGCGGAGGAGAAAATACTAGCTGGCGCGTGATTGGTCGATAAGAGAAGAGAATTGTTATGTATTTGACAAGTGAAATAAAGTTGATAAAAATGTCATATCAAGACTTGGGTTTCTTTGAGGTATATAGGAGTTACAGGTAAAAATTTGAAGGGAGGGATGCACTTTGGTTAGAGATTTTCATTTGGTGTCAAACGCACCTAGTTGTAAACAAATGGAAATTGAAAGTAAAAGTGCAACGGCACGGTATATTTTTTCTGGCATTTTTTGCTTTCCAATATCTCGAACTTTTACGACAAAAAGGTAATTTTCCTGAAATTCAATATATGGATCAGTGAGAGGGGCTAAAGTTTGTATGGAAGTCTATGGGAAAACATTTGGTGGTGTTTGTCCTATAGAAAAGGTATGATTTCATGGATAAAAATTGATCACACCCAAAAAATCAATCGGTTCCTATTTTTTTGGCATTGAGATTATATTTTACTTAGTTTTGACTATTTGTTTAAAAATAAGAGGATTTGGGTAAATTGGGGCTCACAATGGGGACTGTACTTAGTGAAAAAATGCCAAAATTTGTGCCCTAGCTCTCATATTTTCAATAAATGTACATGTAAATAATTTTAAATGAATATTTATACCGAAATTTACTGTGAATATTGTAAATAATGCAATATCAATATTTATGGGCATTATCAATACACAAAACATATGAACAACCCCCTCGCAGCTTGAGAAATTTATTTAAATCCATGTATTTTATGAGTGTAGACATTGGAACAGATTGATTAATCCTCTTTCAAATTTGTGTTAATCAGAGTTGATTGAATATTTTATAACAAAATTTGACTGGTATTTACTAATTAGGTTACTTTGTTTTTACATAAGGGGCATAATCCAGCAGCAAAGCCATTTCAGTCATGTAATCAGTGCTGGCTTGAAATAAAAGTTATACTTTCGGTGAAACTTAGAGATTACTAGATAGAATGTTCTATCGTTAAAATGATATTGTCCTACGGACCCGGTTTAACGATAGAATTCGTTCCGTGTATTTGTAATGTAGCAGAAAGAAACACGGGCGATAGTGCATTTACTATGAACAATCTAGAGAGTTCCGAATGTAAACATTTGAATGGAAAGAAAAACGTTGAGAAAATTAATTGGATTTACGTATTTATATGGATTATTTTTTGGGATAAAAGGCATAAGCAATCTCAAGAAGGTTTGTTTTGATTATTTTGGTAGTTATTCCCAGTTCAAATCATTTTATATTCTTCAAAATCGTTTCGGAGTGGATCCGCTCCGATTTGCAACATTACAAGTATATTGGACGTATTCTAACTGTGGTGAGGGCCTGTACCAAGACACAGTTAGATTATTCTAACTAAGACATTACTAGTAGGAAATTGAATTTAAATTACAGTACAATATATTTTTGCAGAAAATACATTGAAATTGCATAAATATGCAAAATTATAGCTGAAGAAATTATGAAAAAGGTATTTGAATATCCCTCCACCTTGCCATATCCAATTTTGATATTCTGCTGAAAGGGGGGGGGGGTAATTTTGTGCTCTAATCATGCTGTAAAATGAGGGAATAGTGTTAAAATCTGGTTTATTTGAATAACAAGAGTCATTCTTATCTGCAGTTATTTTTTTTCAATGTCTTTTTTATTATTTAAAATAATTATCTGAGTAAATTCTATTTTAACATGATTATTTTAAAGGTATTACATCACAAATGCTTAAAAAATTCAAAAGATGGTGTTAAGAATAAAAAAATTATGATGTAAGCTACTAGATGCATTTATCAATATGTTTTAATACAATAAAATGTATTTCAGCGATGCATTCTCAAGAAGGAAGAGATTAATGAACACTACCCTCTTACAATGAACAACACATGGATACTCTCGGGATGATCCCTTTGCTTTCATTAAGAGTTCCAAGGTATTGTTTTCTTAGAAAATCTAATTAATCTCTTAATATTTAAGTTATTTAGAACTTTTTATAGATTATTAGAAAATAAATTTCCTTAGAACTGCAGTTATTTAAGCACTTTGCTTACAATTGAGAACTTTATTCAGTCAGACAATATGATTTATCTGCCCTTGGCATTTATTCAATTTATTAATTAGGTCAATAATAAGAAATGATATGCAAATAAATATATTTGCCTTTTATGAGAATGTACATATTTAACATCAAATACATGAAATGTTCATGAAAATTGGCTAAAATGTAGGTCACCCCCCTTCAAAATTACAAAATTTTCAGTGGGGATGTATTTGATTCTCTGATGCCAGCAACCCACTGCTGATAGAATTTTTTTCAATCTTATGTACATTTGAACGAGATATAATTCTCTATTCTTTCCATTGATTATTTTATCTATATTAGTTTTCACTCTTTCCATAATCCAGCTTTTCTTACAAAAACCTGCTGATTTTCTTCATTTTTCATTGATAAGGGGTACCTGCTACCCTGAATGATTAACATGATTTTCCTTGAGAAATTATTAGAGATAATAAGAATGACGAGCAAATCATATGCTAGATTAATCATTTTATTTCATAAGTTTGAAAGAAAAATAGAAAAATGCTCCAATTTATAGACATCTTTTCTGTTTCACAGATGTGGGTCTGATTGACTGGGGTGTGAAATGTAACAGCCAATGGTGTACTTAAGGTAAGACTGTCAGTCCCAATATTCAAGAGGTCAGATAAGCAATGAATATATGTTCTAAATTTACTAAATTGACCACTTTTTACAAATGTTTCTTTTACTCTATAGGAAAACCCCCTACATAAACAAATACATGGGCGCAGACATTTTGGACACCCAACGTTGCGCGGAGGAGAAAATACTAGCTGGCGCGTGATTGGTCGATAAGAGAAGAGAATTGTTATGTATTTGACAAGTGAAATAAAGTTGATAAAAATGTCATATCAAGACTTGGGTTTCTTTGAGGTATATAGGAGTTACAGGTAAAAATTTGAAGGGAGGGATGCACTTTGGTTAGAGATTTTCATTTGGTGTCAAACGCACCTAGTTGTAAACAAATGGAAATTGAAAGTAAAAGTGCAACGGCACGGTATATTTTTTCTGGCATTTTTTGCTTTCCAATATCTCGAACTTTTACGACAAAAAGGTAATTTTCCTGAAATTCAATATATGGATCAGTGAGAGGGGCTAAAGTTTGTATGGAAGTCTATGGGAAAACATTTGGTGGTGTTTGTCCTATAGAAAAGGTATGATTTCATGGATAAAAATTGATCACACCCAAAAAATCAATCGGTTCCTATTTTTTTGGCATTGAGATTATATTTTACTTAGTTTTGACTATTTGTTTAAAAATAAGAGGATTTGGGTAAATTGGGGCTCACAATGGGGACTGTACTTAGTGAAAAAATGCCAAAATTTGTGCCCTAGCTCTCATATTTTCAATAAATGTACATGTAAATAATTTTAAATGAATATTTATACCGAAATTTACTGTGAATATTGTAAATAATGCAATATCAATATTTATGGGCATTATCAATACACAAAACATATGAACAACCCCCTCGCAGCTTGAGAAATTTATTTAAATCCATGTATTTTATGAGTGTAGACATTGGAACAGATTGATTAATCCTCTTTCAAATTTGTGTTAATCAGAGTTGATTGAATATTTTATAACAAAATTTGACTGGTATTTACTAATTAGGTTACTTTGTTTTTACATAAGGGGCATAATCCAGCAGCAAAGCCATTTCAGTCATGTAATCAGTGCTGGCTTGAAATAAAAGTTATACTTTCGGTGAAACTTAGAGATTACTAGATAGAATGTTCTATCGTTAAAATGATATTGTCCTACGGACCCGGTTTAACGATAGAATTCGTTCCGTGTATTTGTAATGTAGCAGAAAGAAACACGGGCGATAGTGCATTTACTATGAACAATCTAGAGAGTTCCGAATGTAAACATTTAAATGGAAAGAAAAACGTTGAGAAAATTAATTGGATTTACGTATTTATATGGATTATTTTTTGGGATAAAAGGCATAAGCAATCTCAAGAAGGTTTGTTTTGATTATTTTGGTAGTTATTCCCAGTTCAAATCATTTTATATTCTTCAAAATCGTTTCGGAGTGGATCCGCTCCGATTTGCAACATTACAAGTATATTGGACGTATTCTAACTGTGGTGAGGGCCTGTACCAAGACACAGTTAGATTATTCTAACTAAGACATTACTAGTAGGAAATTGAATTTAAATTACAGTACAATATATTTTTGCAGAAAATACATTGAAATTGCATAAATATGCAAAATTATAGCTGAAGAAATTATGAAAAAGGTATTTGAATATCCCTCCACCTTGCCATATCCAATTTTGATATTCTGCTGAAAGGGGGGGGGGTAATTTTGTGCTCTAATCATGCTGTAAAATGAGGGAATAGTGTTAAAATCTGGTTTATTTGAATAACAAGAGTCATTCTTATCTGCAGTTATTTTTTTTCAATGTCTTTTTTATTATTTAAAATAATTATCTGAGTAAATTCTATTTTAACATGATTATTTTAAAGGTATTACATCACAAATGCTTAAAAAATTCAAAAGATGGTGTTAAGAATAAAAAAATTATGATGTAAGCTACTAGATGCATTTATCAATATGTTTTAATACAATAAAATGTATTTCAGCGATGCATTCTCAAGAAGGAAGAGATTAATGAACACTACCCTCTTACAATGAACAACACATGGATACTCTCGGGATGATCCCTTTGCTTTCATTAAGAGTTCCAAGGTATTGTTTTCTTAGAAAATCTAATTAATCTCTTAATATTTAAGTTATTTAGTACTTTTTATAGATTATTAGAAAATAAATTTCCTTAGAACTGCAGTTATTTAAGCACTTTGCTTACAATTGAGAACTTTATTCAGTCAGACAATATGATTTATCTGCCCTTGGCATTTAATCAATGTATTAATTAGGTCAATAATAAGAAATGATATGCAAATAAATATATTTGCCTTTTATGAGAATGTACATATTTAACATCAAATACATGAAATGTTCATGAAAATTGGCTAAAATGTAGGTCACCCCCCTTCAAAATTACAAAATTTTCAGTGGGGATGTATTTGATTCTCTGATGCCAGCAACCCACTGCTGATAGAATTTTTTTCAATCTTATGTACATTTGAACGAGATATAATTCTCTATTCTTTCCATTGATTATTTTATCTATATTAGTTTTCACTCTTTCCATAATCCAGCTTTTCTTACAAAAACCTGCTGATTTTCTTCATTTTTCATTGATAAGGGGTACCTGCTACCCTGAATGATTAACATGATTTTCCTTGAGAAATTATTAGAGATAATAAGAAAGACGAGCAAATCATATGCTAGATTAATCATTTTATTTCATAAGTTTGAAAGAAAAATAGAAAAATGCTCCAATTTATAGACATCTTTTCTGTTTCACAGATGTGGGTCTGATTGACTGGGGTGTGAAATGTAACAGCCAATGGTGTACTTAAGGTAAGACTGTCAGTCCCAATATTCAAGAGGTCAGATAAGCAATGAATATATGTTCTAAATTTACTAAATTGACCACTTTTTACAAATGTTTCTTTTACTCTATAGGAAAACCCCCTACATAAACAAATACATGGGCGCAGACATTTTGGACACCCAACGTTGCGCGGAGGAGAAAATACTAGCTGGCGCGTGATTGGTCGATAAGAGAAGAGAATTGTTATGTATTTGACAAGTGAAATAAAGTTGATAAAAATGTCATATCAAGACTTGGGTTTCTTTGAGGTATATAGGAGTTACAGGTAAAAATTTGAAGGGAGGGATGCACTTTGGTTAGAGATTTTCATTTGGTGTCAAACGCACCTAGTTGTAAACAAATGGAAATTGAAAGTAAAAGTGCAACGGCACGGTATATTTTTTCTGGCATTTTTTGCTTTCCAATATCTCGAACTTTTACGACAAAAAGGTAATTTTCCTGAAATTCAATATATGGATCAGTGAGAGGGGCTAAAGTTTGTATGGAAGTCTATGGGAAAACATTTGGTGGTGTTTGTCCAATAAAAATGCAAATACAAATTTTTTATTGGCACAAACACAATTACAGTTTTTGGTAAAGGCCTATAGAAAACATAGTGATAAGCATGAAAATACACTAGAACACAACTAGAATACAAACAATTGGTGTAGCAAATTATGTACTGTACTCATAAAATACTAATTACATACATATGATTCAGTACAATGTAGTTACTCATCTATAGCAATAACTCATTGCCTGGGGCTTTTAACCAGAGCGAACGTTCTCGAGTGCTCGCTTAAATTACTATTTGGGGTACAAGGAATTTTGGCGAGCGCTCGGCAACCTTCAATTTGCTGTATAAGCCTATGAACTTTATTTTTATTCTTAAAGATGACCTTATTAAGAAAACGACACGGTACGGTTTCAATACAGCTATTGCCCTTTATTTTTCATAAATATGGTAGAAGGATATGAAAATAACGAACAGTATTCAATCTCAACGTCCATTAAACAAACATACAAAATAAGAGCAGAGCAAACACGGACCTCCGAAACATCAGAGGTGGGATCAGGTGCCATGGAGGAGTGAGCATCCCCCGCCGACCGGTCACACCCGCCGTGCGCCCGCTGTCACAATCAGGAAACAACGGAAAAAATCCGTGGTCAACTCAGTGTACAAACAATGGACCAACAACTGGTATGAAATACGTCAGTCAGCACCCCACCCAATGACAAACTGCATCCGCCGACAAGGTCACTGCATCGACCACAGAACTCACGAAATGATGACTTTAAACGAGACTGTTGATATTCTTGTTTCATCAACTTGCTTGTCAATAATTTACCTCGTTTAAGAAATTGTTCATACGTAGAGCATGCTCTTGCGTATCGAATCAACTGAGATATAAATACTCTGTATGCAGGTGATGAAGGTAAATTGCTGCACAAGTAAGGGAAGTTGACGATAGGAAAGCCAAAGTCATCACGCCTATCACACAGCCTGGCTGCCAGATCACCACCAGTGTCTTTCCCAAGTAAAATATCCAAGTATGAAGCAGAAGTGTCGGACTCTGTGGTATCTTTTATCTCAAGCTCACCAGGATATATCGTGTCGACGTAGGAATGGAAATTATCATTATTAATTGACAATACGTCGTCGATATATCCAAATGTCGAGTTAAAGGCCACAACAAGTGCTTTCTTCTTTTCACGTAAAAGATTTTGCATAAATTCTGCTTCATATGAATATAAAAATAAGTCTGCCAACAACGGAGCGCAACCTGTACCCATAGGAATTCCAATAGATTGTTCGAATACCTGGTCTCCAAAACCACATAGATATTGTCAATCAGAAACTCAAGCATCTTCTTGATGTCAACTTCAGAGTACTTATGTGTGCAATCAGAATCTGTTTTAACAAAATAATTTTTCAAATGACCAATGACGAGGTAAGTAAACTTACGAGTTCCATTTTTGTTGAAGAAGCAGCTGTCAATGATATCAAAAAGCCTGGATTTTAATTTGTCGTGGGGAATTGTTGTGTATAAAGTTAAAAAGTCGTAAGTTTTTATACTGTTGATTTTTGTAAAGTCTTGTGATTTCAAATTGTCCAAGAAATAAAGATTCACCCTATGGTTTTTATTGAATTCCATGTACACGATGCAGTAAACATACAAATCGTTCTCCCAATATGGCCTCCTTTATGCTA